CCCTGTCTCTGTCCCTGTCCCTGTCTCTGTCCCTGTCCCTGTCCCTGTCCCTGTCCCTGTCCCTGTCTCTGTCCCTGTCCCTGTCCCTGTCCCTGTCTCTGTCCCTGTCTCTCTCCATTTCTCATTTTGCTCTTCCATTTGTTGCATTTTCCCCTCTTCTTCCCAGCTCAAAATTCTCAGAGAAAGATTCTGATTGCCTGTCGTGGTTCAGAGGTTCATTCCTGGACCAACTTATTGTGGCCAGAGGAAGAGATTATATGTTGTATTTTATATATATATGTACATATATATTATTTAGTACCCACACATGTAGAACTCTGCAAAATCAGATAATAAAAAATGATCTTCGTCATACTGCAGTGCAACCACAATGTGTATGGTTTCACCTGATCGTATTTTACAATTTTTAAAACTTTCTCCAATGGTAGGGGTCCTAGGGAGCTCCACCTCATTCCTCCATAGGTGGGGCCGGTAAAGCAGGACCCCGCATTTCCTACACAATTTTTTTCTGAATGAGAGTTTGGGAAGATTCCGTGCTCACGGAGTAAGAGACATTTTCCACTCTCTCAAGCAAGACGAGTTTGCACCAGGTGTGGAAAGTTGCATGTGGTGCCTGCAGACTTTACTCAGGTCATGTATCAGGTACAAGCTGGGTGTGATGTTAGCTTTCGGGAACTGTCCCAGGTCGAGCTTCCCAGGAGGCAGACCCCAACGCAGAGACTGTCTTGGAAGAAAAGGAAGGGACTCTCAGGGCTCAGGCCGTCACCGGAGAAGGTGGAGGGGTCTGCCTGCAGTTTCCGAGGAATGGGAGCACTGGGTCTCCCTCCTGGAGGGGAATCGGAAGGGCGCCTCCCAGCGTCTGCGGCCAGTCAGACTGCACTGAGCCCTCCTCCTCCTGTTGCTGCATTGCTCACCACACTTCATCTGCTCCCCTCCCGGCAAACTTGTCCCTTCTGCCTTTCCTCTGCCTCCTCACACCTAGGTCTCCTCATATGTACAACGGGAATCATAAGAACACGTGTTTCTTAGGATTATGGTGAGGCTAACTCAACAGGAAACACCCAGAATCACGCCTGGCACATAGCTCTCTATAGCATCTGGGATTGTCCTTAGAACCTTGCATATCAGGTTTAAACTCAACCATTTGAGTCGCTGCCCCCCTCCTTCCCTCCCTGGTCCCTGGTGCTGTATGAGCCATGTTCCTAGCTTTGGTAAATTTGATGCTTTAACATGGGTCCTCCTTACATATGTGGACCTGCCTTGTTCTGGACAAGCCAGTGATATGCCTGAGCCACCTTGCCTTGACCTCCTGCCTCCCTGGTCACACACACACACACACACACACACACCATCCAGTCTGGAGGCACACCCAACCACCCTCCTTTTGGGCTCTCTCCCTCTCCCTCTGGCCTGACCCCACGAGTGCCAACAAGCAGAGACAGTTGCTGTGTCCCAGAGTCCGTGGAAATCACTCATACTGGCCAGCCCTAATCCTGCTGCCCCTGGTTAGCCCATTCCTTCCTGCGTGTGAAGGCCACAGTAAAGGCTCCGGCCCACGCTCGCCCCCTTCCCGCTGCCTCCCCTGGTGCTCCCCTGGGGCCCTGGAGGCAGGCCATGCCCCACCCTCTTGCGAACGGTGAGGAAAATCTATCTAGCTGATCCCTTGGTTTTACCCTACCTCAGAGCTTCCGTTAATGCACCGAGAGGAGGGTCTGGAATTTAGTTCACGCCCCAGGCAAGGTGGAGGGTGGGCAGCAGGGCTCCACATCCCTCTCCGGCATCCAGCTTCAGGCTCTGCTCCAGGCCCTCTCCCTCCAGGTGCCTGATCACCTGACTCCTCATCCAATTCTTTCTGTTCTGATAAGTAAAGTATGCCTCGGGTCCTTCAGGACTTTGCTTCTGATACTTGTCCAGACCTTGCATTTTGAACGTTAAAACCTTTCTGTTTCAAACACTCCTGCTTTGTGATTCAAAAGCTTCAGTTTTCAAGACTTGTTTTCTCTCCCAGGAAATTCAAAAGCCTCCTCAGAAACTGAAAGCCAAGGATTTGACTCTTTCTTACTGTATTTGGTGGTGAATGTGCCCATCTCCATCCCCAAATCCAATAAGCTCAGAATGGTCTTATTTGCATAAAGAATTATGCATGTATGTGCATGCAAAAAATATATACTTATCAGTTAATATGTTGACAGATTATTCTGCCACCAAAACATAAAAAAATTTGCATAAAGGCAGAATCTCAGCTTGTGAGGTTATTCAAATAGCTGTTTCCAAACTATTAAAAATATTCTAGAAACAAGTCTTATTTAAGTATTTAAGTCCTATTGATCAAAATTCCATCTCCATTCTACTTATTAAGAAATAACAATTCTTAACTTTGTAACTTATTTCAAATAAATCTGCTAATGTTAAATCTGATGGCTCCGAGGGGAGGAAAATCCCTTGTTGGTTCTGTTACTGAGGACCTGCAAATCAAGTCCCATGAAGAGGAAGAAAGGGTTTATTTCTTACGCATATCCGGCGGCGGGGGGGGGGGCTCACAGAAATAAAATGAGCACCCCGAGGTGGTGGTCAGACCTGCAGTCTTTTACAAAACCCGTTTGAACAAAGGGCAGTACATTTGTGGAGAAGGGACAAGGCTGAAGGAAAAGCGTTTTGAGCTTCTTGGGCAGAGTCACGTGTGGGAAGGTCAATATACACGGGACTCGAGGTAGATAAGGGTTATTTAGTAAAGTTCATTTGTGCAGGCCAGCTTGACTCTCACGTTCCGGCCTCTCCATGGCTGTAAAACTCCCCGGGGATGGGGCGTTTATGGCCAACCTCATTTCTCAGAAGTGTCTGCTCTTAGATAAGGCAAAGCTCCAAGAAGCCTTCTTTCTGCATCTGTTCGTTCCCAATGGTCTCCAGCTCAAAATAATCCAGGCACCAAAGGGGCATGTTTTGGGGCCGCGTATTCTGGCCCCCTTCAGCTTGATGGGGAACAAATCCTGTTTAGTACAGAGGGATGTTCTCCGAAAGGATTCTTGAGGATTCTGACAACAGGGAGGACTGACGGCCAAGAGCTGTAGGCAGCTGTGGGTTCCAGCATACGGGCTTCTACTTTATGGGGAGGCGCCCACAAGGCGGGAAAGTATGGGATGGGGGATATGGTGGTGGTGGGGGTGGTCTGCTGGCTCAGCGGAGACCGGACAGGCCCAGGAAGGACAGGGAAGCTTGGACACAGCTCGGGAAGCAGGCACGTGGTCTGGCTGATCCGTGGGGAAAAGCACATCAGCCCATCCCTGATGACACCGGGTGGGGATTCGGGAACAGGTGCGCTGGCTTTGGGTGCACCCCAGTCGTGCGGGGAAGGGGGTCCTCTGCAGCAAGTCCTTTCTGGAACGTGAAAGTCGGGGACATTTCTCAACCTCTGTTGTTCTCCAGGAGCTCGGGACTTGGGGGAAGGTCGCTGTTACCCGCACTGAGCACCACGCCTGGGACACGGGTTCACCTGAAACTCGCTGTCAGTGACAGCCCACCCAAGTCACAAATGCAGGTGCCTCTCCAGTCACAGGTGTTGATATGCCTGCTGAGCTTCTAAATGCGTCTAGAGGTCCGGGAAGAGGGGCCGGAAAAGGACAGAGGGAAGGAAGCCTTCTTAGTGGCTGGAAATCAGCAGATCTTTAGACTTTGTAAGCGGTTTTTCCAGGTATTTCTAAAATGGAGGAACGGGCACCAAAAACCAAGACGAGCTCCTCATGCAGCATGCCTAGGCCCCTGCTCCCCGGTTTCTTGGGGATGTCTGGCTGCTAACCTTTCTGGTTTGGGGAAATACTTAGCATATTTTTATATGAGATGCTAAAGAAGAAAATCCATTTTTAGTGGAGCGCGCTCCTTCTGATTGCAGAGGCTTTGGGCCGTGCACGGTGATTCCAGGCCCTCTCCTGAGAAAGGCTGCACCACCCTTTTTTCCTTCCTACAGAGAAAGCTTTTGTGATTTAGCCGAATCGAATACATTTTTGGAAAGACGTTTCTTAGTCTGGATTTTTCAAGGCCTACCCACTAGTCTGAAAGAAGTAGATTGTAACGTAATCTCTTTAAAATAGATGCAGTCAGAGATAAAGGTGAGGTCATGCCTTTGAACTAAAGGACACCCCCACCTTCTCTGTATTCACTTGTGCCAGAGGTTCCTTTAGAGTCTGTGAGATTCTCTTAGAAACTGCTTGTCCTCCCTTTTGGCCATGGTTTCTATTCTGAGAATCCTGGGGCTTCGCTGCTCTGTCCCTTGTGTGCTCGCTGACTCTGGCCCCAAGGGCTCGGTGTGGCTTGGCTCCAGGCGGGGGAGGGAGCTCCGCTTGTTCTTGGCTAGGCTGCAGGCCCGGAGCAAGAGCAGGGGGCCTGGCTTTGCTCTCCCAGGAACTCCTCCCTGGAGGAAAGGGGGCGTGGCTACCTAGGCCATAGGAAGACAGAAGAAAACCACCCCCACCGGGAAACAGGGAGGGTGTCCCCACGTCCTGCTTAGGGATTCAGTTCGCCATCTAAAACCAGGACCATCTGATCACCAGACCTGCAGAGGCTGGCTTTCCCTAACCTCACGCGGCGGTGCTCACACCTGCCTGTGCGCGTGACTCGGTGTATCACGCTCAAGCAGGCCGCACGCGGGGAGTTCCCACCGATAACTGACCACAAGGGGTTTTTGTTTGAAACACTATTTGTAGAGGCCAAACAGGAGGCAAGAAGGAACTTCGCTGTATCTTCTGATGAATGTAAATTCTTCCTTTGTTCCTCACCAAACTCTGACTCATGGATCCCTCCCCAAAAGAGTTCAGTTTCCCAAGACCTTGCAACGTGAACAATGACCTGTTTACACATCCGGGGCGACCATGAGAACTTTCAGAGTGGCCGAGATCACATATACATCGTCAGTACGCTTCCTCGCTTTGTTGTGTCTTCCAGGGTCTGTCGGGGGTTCCCCCAGTGGGAATGAACATTTTAGTAGGAGATTCAGGTGAAAACCCATGTGATCTTTGACTCAGTCTTTAATTCAGATGCTGCCGGGTGAGAAGTACTAATGGATACACTGCACTGGCTGAGAGCTTGTATAGAAATGAGATCTTGGGCAGGGAAGGGGAGCCGTGTCTGGATGGCCTTAAAAGTAAATTAAAACCTTGTGGAAAACATTTCTCTTGGCATTAAAAGGTACCCAGTGGTTAGTAATAAGTAGGATGCCTGGGGCTACAGAGCCTACTGACAGCATATCTTAATGGCCACGACACCTGCAGACTGTCTCTTGATGTGCAACCTGCTCGTCTCTTTTGATAATGGACCCCCTCCGCCCCGGTTTTTAACTGGGTGCATGGCTGCTAGGAGTGAAGCCTGCATTTCCACGTGTCCCTTGCAACTGGGTGTGGGACACAGTGTGTGAGTTGAGGTGGGAATTGTCCTGAAAGAAAGGAGATAGGTAAGTCTCTGTTCCTGCCTTCCTTCCACCCTCCTGCAACTTGGAAATCAGGTGTGATGGCAGCACGTGGGCAGCCACCCTGCTGCGTGAGGTAGAGGTGGCCATGTACTGGGAGGGAAAAACAAGAGGATGGAGGGTCCGAGTTCCTGCCCCCCCCCCCGGGAACACCACACGTGTGGTTAATCCCTGGACTTGGGAGAGAAAACACACGTTTCTCTCCTGCTTATACCACTGTTACCTTGAATTTCTGATCAAGTACAACCAGGTGTAATCCTCAGTGACATCCTCTTGTTGTCTATACCTGCGTAGAGTTGGTCCCTCTTACTATTTCATGGTCAAAGAGTTTAAATGCTACCACCTCTGGAAATCAACTGAGAAGTAAAATTGCACATCTTGTGGGAAGTGAGGGGTTTCCTGATGTGGATGGACAGGTGCTGGGGAGTGACCTGAACCACAGGCTGGGTCCCTGGCGGCTTAGAACCAGGTAGCTGGCAAGGGTGAGACAGCCTCCAAGGACCACGGGACAGATGTTGCAGACCAGAGGAAGGAGAAGCTCTGGGGAGCACTGACCAAGTCCTGGGCATTGTCTTGCTTGTTACTTACTTGTTGGTGGGAACTATTTCTTGGCCCTGCACTTAGAGTTTCAGTTCTGCCGGCATAAATCAAGCGTGTTAAACATCAGGTGAATTTAACCTACCTTCTTCATTCTGGATTCACTTTTCAATACAAAGTCATCATCTAGCCTCTTCTCAGATGTTCGTTTTCTGTCAAATTCCAGTCCCTATTCAGAGGGACCCTTTAAGGCAGTAGCTGTCCTGTCGGTCTTGGTGGCAGTGTTGGGTCGCTGGAGAGCTCAGGCCTGGGTGCCTCCAGCCCCGAGAGCTGATGTGACTGGTCAGGAATGAGGCCCGGGCACCAGGATTTGTGTAGGGAGGCCTTCTGTGTGTCATTCCCACACGGGCCCCCTGACTTTCCAAGAGGACACTGGGTCAGAAGGGAAGTGAGGGTGGGCCGTGGGGAGACACAGGCAGTGGGAGGAAGAAGACACTGTGTCTTCATAGGAAAAATGCATAAAGAGCAACTCTCCGGACACCGTTGAGAGCCACAGATCAATGACAGGCAGGCAGGTTCAGCTCCCAAGCACCGGCTGCCCGCTGAGCCCGCACAGTCTGCTCGGTAAAGCTGGAGATCCCAGGAAGCTGCCCATCCAGCAGGCCCTGTGGCACAGCACCCCGGGGAAGGTGGGGAAGGGGCAAGGGCGGAGCTAACCCAAGACGCAGGCCCAGAAGCCAAGAGGAAGCGGCGCCTCTTTGCCGCAAAACACGGCACCCCATTCTGTGCATTTCCCCCCTGTATTCGGAGGTCATGGTGCCTCGGTACTCTCTGGAGACTTACTCCTGGATCATTCAAACATGGACCTCAGCAAACTGAAACCGATACACAAAATGTTGAAACACAGAGTTAACTGAGTGTGAAACTGGAGCCGTGTACAATGCTTGTGGGAAAGCACAGTTTCACGTCTACACTTTGGCATTAACTTGGTGATTGTGCATAAACCGCCCTTCAGGAGATGCTCGAGCGTCAGTACCTGTGTGTTCAGGGCTGGGACTGGGGTCGGGGGGGTGGTTTCTCTTGGATGCTGGTCACAACATGAACATGAACATATAGCGGCTGTGTCCGTGGGCTGACGGTGACACACTTTATTCTGTGGACTCCCTTCCGTGGACACGTTGGACTTTAGTTGCTGGTTTTGAACAATGAGTTACAGGTCATCAGAAGGCAGGTGGGACGTGTCTGCTGTGCGGCTTGCCTCTAAGTCCCATAGCGGCTAATACCCCTCTCTCCCCGCCTCCCCCTGCCCGGCCCCCAGGAGCCCCCAGAAGCTCTTGCGCTCAGGAGCTGATCTGGTAGACACGTCCGGGATGTTCTCTGGAAGTCCTGACAGGTTTTGGACGAGGTTCTGCCTTATAACTGTTGTTTATCAGTGATTCCACTGAAACTGGCGTGATGTGAACCGGACTGGCCCCACTGGCCCAGAACTCTGTCTCTGGTATTCACCCAGGTCCGTGCGTCCGCGGTGGCCCCGGGCGGGCGCGTGACAACACCAGGCGAGTGCCCTTACTCCCTGATGCTTCCCTCGAGGTTCTGGACGAGGTTCTGATAGGTGTCTCTTTCCGCCTGCCACGAGTGACACCTTCTCACATACTCCCTTCCATTGGCCACAATTTCTTTTTCCAACGCAGGATCATGAACCAGTCTCTTTGCTAATTGAACAAACTCCTGCAAAGAAGGAGGTGGAAGAGAAACGGGTGTAAATAATTGGCCAACGGGGATTTGCAAACGCCTGTGCCTGGGTTAGCTCCCAGCCTCTCCCTCGTCGGCCTCCCGTGCTCTGGGGGCACGGCCCTTAGGTGGATGAGGTGGAGACAGGACAGTGCACGGCTCTGGCCCACATGGTGGGAACGTTAATCCTCTTATGCTCCCGACTGGGTCAAGGAGAAAGCCTCCCACTCTCCTCTCTGCCGAGGGAGGACAGTGGGGTCGGACCGGCCACACATCATCACCATCAGCAGCCTCCATCACGTGCCTGCTGTCCGGAAATCAGCATGGGGGGATTTGATGATGGGGTTTGTGCCCTCTGTCTTCACCGTGTGCCCCGCGGTGGCTCTAAGAGGTGCCCTATATGAAACATGCCACAATTTCCAGATCAAAACATACGACTAGTCAGGCGAAGCAGGATAAACGAAGCCACAAATAACTTCACATCAGCTCAGATACGAGTTTGCTGCCAAGTGAGTTTTGGCACCAAACTCCCAAAAAATCAAATTGCTTTTCAAGCGCTTTTTGGATTTTGGTATTGCAGAAAGGGACTGGGACTCTGGGCTGTCCCATGAGCCCATTCTCAGACAGAGAAACTGGAGCAGAGAGCGGATGGATTCACCACCCGTGACAACCAAGAGGCTACAGAGAGCCCCGTCCAAATGGGAAAGGGAATGCATCCCACCTGCATGTGTCCTGCAGAAATAGGAGGTTGTCTCCAAATGCTCAACTGTGATACTTCTTCATTTAATTTTTATGTTGTCGATTTTTCTATAAAAAAAATGTGTGGCCATCACAACCTAACTCCAGGAGACAGAGACCGTGGGGGCTGCATCAGCACCATGCCCACCACACTCCCGCGTCCCGTGCACCTCATGGTTCCTGTTCGTCCCCCTCATTCCCTGCAGGCCCGGCACGTGGCACACTGCGCCCCCTCCTGCTCCCCGCACGCTCGCCATCACGCCCCAGCTTCCTGCGTGGGGCTCTGCTGCCACAAGGGCCCTTCCCTGTGGGGCACCTCGTCCGTCGGGGCCGGCCCCATCCTCGCTGGGCAGAACCTGTGAGAGTCCCAGGAGCCGATCCCTACGACATCCGACGGGGGTGGTGCCCGTGGTGCTCGGGAAGAAGCTGTGCGGCCCTATCCCAGAGCCACCCTGCCTGGCCCCCAAACCCCACGTGTGGCTTGGACCCTTTTCCTCCCAGCTTCTACCTCCAGGACCTCACTCAGTGCATAGCAGGGACTCAGGGAAAGTTCTCTAACTCATCTGGTGCATGAGGGGCCCAGTTCCCCTGCCTCGTCTTGCAGAGACAGAACCCACTATGCTTGTCCTGGCACACGAAGCCCAGACTCCTCTTTCTGGCTGGTGAGACCCTCACTCCCGAGATACCTGAGGACCCCTAGCCTCCTCTTGCGTCAGGAGGGCAAGACGTGGTCCCCAGCTAGGACTACGCCGCCTCGGACACGACCTTGCTGGGAATGTCGCTGCCGTGTGACAGCCCCATCCCTCGCGCTCAGAGAGGGGACAGGCCTCATCCAGAGCAGATGTCTAACTGCTAGCTGCCCAGCAGATCTTCCCCTGGATGGTTGGACGGTGGGATAGGCCCACAGAGCATCTAAACTAACAGCCGACTGAATTATCAACATTTACAAAATTTACAAATGGGCACAATCCAAGTATAATTTGGGAATTCCAGCCTCTCTTCAAACACAGCAAGGGCTGTGACTTGGGCCTGTGGGCCCAGGGCAGCCGGCAGTGGGCCCTTTGCGGGCCCTTCGCTCACCCGGGGCACGTGGTCTCCCCCGTGGGCCCCAGACACGAGAGCACGAGCCGCCTGGCCTCACGGGAGCCTTTCTCAAACCCACTTCTTCTCTGTTCTCCCCCCACACCTCCCACAGCCATACTGACTTACCACACGCCTCTTCCCTCAAGACCTCCCTGCTACTGTCGGGGCTGACCAAGGCATTAACCGGATTAGCCTTGATCTTTCACCTTCTATGGCCAGACTCGGAGCCGCCAGGAGCCCTGGGAGACAGGGCCTGCACACAGAGCTAGCTTGGCCACGAACCTGAACCTGACGGCCAGAAGGCGTGGGCTCTCAGGACACCGTGCGTGGGCAGCAGCCTGTCCCCCGACCGTGCCTATGATGCAGAGGTTGTCATGGGGTGTGAAGATGGGGCCGCGGGGCGCCACAGGCACCGGGAAGGGGACAGGGAGCGAGGGCCCAGGCACGGACCACCACAGAGTACGGGCTACACTCTCAGAGGGAAGGTCAGGACTCTGCCCCCGCTGTTGGTTTAGTTTTATACAAAGGTTCACAAAATAAGAGGATAAGGGATGCCCTTTGACAACCACTGAGGTCCTTCAGGCAAAGCCTGTGTGAGGTTTGTTTGCTGTTTCGAAGGGTAAGGTGGGGGGGGGGTCCTGGCAGGCGTGAGCGACTGGCGACCTTCCCTCTTCCTATCCGGTTTCTCTGTCATCTCCGTCAGGGACGGAGAGCTCACACTGAGCTGCCGACTCCAGATCCGCCTCAGACGGCAGCGCATTCACAGCTTACACGCATGCATCACCCTGGGTAGGCTGGCTCTCTGGCCCGCGAGTCCCCCTTTAGCAAGTGAAATGCTGCTCCGGATCCGTATCGGAATACAGATTTGAAATCAACCTTCCACACTCTGGCAGCCAGCCAGCGGTTCGTGCCCCTGAGCCCCTCGTTCGCGGTGCCTCTAACCACGTGGCTGGCTTATTTAAAATGCATTTTGTTTTGGAGGCAGGCTTCCCACCCTGCGCTCGGTCGAGTCCGGTCGTGAACGTAAAGACAAAACAAAGCTGCCTGTGACAGCCGCGTCTTAGTGCACTTTTCAGTGTGTTAAAAAACGCAGCCTCCCCCCCATGTGAAATCTAAAATGTTCTCTTTTTTTTTAAACATCCTTTGTGACACCAGCGTTCATGTTTTAGAATCAAAATAAGTCCCTGACTTTGTGTGGCGCGGCGCCGTGTCTGGGAGCAGGGGTGACGCGACCCTGTCGGGGTCGGGGGGACACTCATCGGCAAGTGTCAGGAGGAATCCCTTCCCGGACACTCTGTAAGACAGCCAGCATGCTTCTGTCCCCGTGTTCAGACTCACTGACAAAGTCAGAGCCTCTGGAGTTGAGCTACAAAATCAACAGACGCTGTGTTTGGGGAGATGAAAATAAAATCTCTCTGCCAGGGTGGAGGCAACACTGTCTGACCTAAAAGCCTGGTGGGCGTTGATTTCCAGGCTTACAGAAGGCGGCAAAAAGCAATAAGCCTTTGTTTGGAGAAGCGACAATAACTCCCGTCTGCTCTTCTGGTCCTGATCCTCTCTGGCTCACAGGCGTTGCTGCCGAAAGGGAAGGGTTAGCGGCCAGGATGCCTTTGGCTGGACAGTCGCACGGGAGCCAGCGCCCCAGGCCGCAGGGAAAAGAGGTGAGCATGGCCAGAGCAAGAGAAAGGGAAAGGGAAAGCTGTCTCGGATGAAGCATCCGCTGCAGGAATCTGAAAACTGAATTTTCAATTATTTGACTCGACTATAATTTTTAAGTATAAATCCCTATACTCTTGAATATAAACATATGCTTAATAAAGATGCTGGTAGACAGCACCTAATTTTTAAAGACTCAAAGGACAAAACTCAGGCCTAAGAGACTTATTTCCTGCCACCAGATGGTAGGTGGCAGCTGCGGCCGTGTCTCTCCCGTGGTGACAACAGGTCCGGAGCCCCGGCCATGTGCCGTGAACACACAGCCCTGTGTGTCCCTTCGTCTGCCCCCATCACCCCTCCAGGAGGCAGCAGGGATGATGAGCTCAGAGCCACACGCCCTGCCCGCCTTCCCCAAGGGCCAACTGCAGGCAGACACAACGGGCAGACTCCAGACCGCTTCACACACTTCCTGGAGGTCCCCACACATGCGTGTGCCCTGGCCTTGCCCACCCTCTGCTGCACCATCCCATATATTATTTTGAAACGCATGTGGATGTGCACGCATACGCACAAGTACTGGCTTATTCTGTACATTGTTTTGAGGTATTACAATGATCAGATATATGGCAATCTTCTGAAAACCAGTAGGTGTCCTAGAAGTCTAAGATTGTATCTGAAGAGCCCCTGCTTGGAGATCAGAAACCCAAGCATCTCAGAGGTGACCTGACATGCTCAAGGCCATGCCGCTCGTCGGAGGCAGAGTCAGGAATAGGAGCAGGTCTTGGGTTTGGGTCTCTGTTCTAGGTTTTTCCAAATCACACAGCTGCCCCTGTGGCCACAGCTGACACGCTGCACACAGGGCTCCCGCCACTGGGAGGGGGCACTGGGCACTGGCCAAAAGATGGGAACCCCGGACTGGTGAGGGAAACGCCGATGGAAACCGTTCCAGACAAACCCCTCCTTACCTGTGGGTCTGAAAACAACAGCCCTGTGACCTCATGCTTCACCACTGCCGCGTTCCCGGGGATGTTCCTTGCCAGCACGGGGACTTCCAGATCCATCGCCTGGGGACGGGAGAGAGAAGACAGGTGGGCAGTGGTGGTCAAGAGCTTCTCTGGCCAGATGAGCCCGGGTGGGGGAGAGTAACATCTATGCCCTCCGGACCTCCGGAACCTCACCCGATCGAAACATTCCACTTTCAAAGTACATACTGCATTGTAATTACTTACTGTTGCCGGTTCTGGAGAGCTCTATCCCGCAAAACTTTGACATGATTACCGCAATGTCATGAAGAAACCCCCTCTCTCCAAATGTGCACTTGACACTTGTGCAGTGACAGTTTGCAGAACACATCCTTAATTATCCTCATTACTCCCCCAATGAGTCATTTTCCCCCAGCACAAGCCATGTGAACAGTGCAGGAGGATTGGGCATGTCTCTCTGGCACGCAGACCAGAGTAAGAAGGAGCATGATTTATCACCCCGATTATTCACTAAGCAGGCTTTCTGTTCCCCACGGTCTGGATCAGCACACGGCATCCACAGCCCAGCACAAACTGGCATCAAGACCTCAAAAGAGGCCCAAGAGCCCAGCGGGCAGAGTCGGCCTCACGTCCCCGGCAAGGCAGCATCTCTCTGGTTCTCTTGTGGTTTTGGGGAGCCTGACCTGGAAGGCTCTATTTTGGCCTCCTACATTGAGCCTCCTGGGGCTACTTGGACCTGGGACCACTCACCCGTCCTACGGCAGGTGCCCTTCAGCACATAAGAGGGACATCCCTTTGCAACTTGGTGTCCACGGGCAGGACTGGCTGGCGCCAACAGCAGACCAATAATCTGGCTGTTACTCTATGGAAGTATGTTTTAGGCACTCTGATTCTGCCTGTGGCATCTCCCTTCATGTAATAAACATTCGGTCACGAAGGAGTGACATTCCATTTTCAGAAATGTAAAGGTACCCACCTGCAGCCGCAGCCAGAAGCTCTGTGACACAGAGGCCTTCCTCTGGGGGGTGCTCCAGCGACACCCAAGCACCGACACACAGTAGCTGCTCAGTAAATATAGTGGAGCCGATGCCCTAGAGGCACCTATACTGAATGAATTCCGAGTCAGTGTTGTCCACTGTAGCCACCGTAACCGCCAGCTGTTGTCTCGGTCGGCTTGTCTGGTTTTCTCTTTCTTCGTCCCCTACATCATTCCAGTCTACTTTGAGTTTAAGATCTAGGCCCTAGAGAATGCAGGGCTGGCAACACCCTTGCTGTCGGCACGCCGCGGAGTCTATTCTGTTCCCACCATCGGGGAAAGTGGGAGAGCTGGTTTGACGTATGGATCAGAGTCCCCGCCGTCCCGCTCTTCGCCAGCCGCCCAGCTGCTTCTCCAGCGCAGCGATGACGGGTCTCTCTCTGTCAGGGTCTCCTGTTGGTGTTTCAAGAGCATGGAAGGTCTCCAAGTCAGATATTCCATTGTCATTCCATGGTCTGGATCATGGGATGATCTTCGGTGGTCATCACACCTGGGAAGGAGGCACCTCGCAGCACAGGGGAAAAGTAACCTGAAATGGCCACATCCCAGCACCAGAGTCACAAGGGCTTTCAGACTCCTGGGTGGGAGTCGGGTGGGCCCCGGTTCTGACACACTGCAGGTGCAGTCGGGCATCCTGGAAGACAGCATGGGGCCAGGATCAAGAGGCCTTGGTCTTGAATGAAGATCTTGGTCTTACTCTCTTTGCTCTGGGCCCACACGGTGGGTGTCACCCTCAGAGTGCAGCACTATCACTTGGAGTGATGAGGAACCCTGACCGGGCTCCCACCCCACCCTGCTCTGCCCCACAATCAGGCATTCATGAGAGTTGCTCCCATGATTCCCCTGGGCAGCCCAGGAACCACTGAGGTAGCCAGCGCACTGATGTGGTCCTGGATGTCTCCCTGGGTCTTGGTTGCATCTTTTGGAAATGAGGGACTAAACTATCCTCTCCGCGGCACATGAAAAATTCAGATGTCATTTTGCACAAATACCATTATGTGGTTTGTGGCGTAAGCTGACTAGCACATCAGCTACATCAGTTACGAGGTCATAACATAATTATGGTGAGTGATGCTAGGAGTCATATGGCTTGTCTCTCCACTTGTCACACAGCGTGGGTTGCTGGCTCATTAAACTAGCGCAACACACTGTGATCTCACTTTTAGACATTTGTCAACTAACTGCCGCTTCCTCCGCATGGGTGAGACCTTTAAGACTGCCTTGTCACCCACCATCTTATGTCAGGGCAGAGCTCAGAAAGAGGGTGATCGACATGTCAGGGTGCTTCTGCTCCAGGCGGCCCCCACAGCATTTTCATACTCAAAGGGTACATTTATTCTCTGATTTTGGATAAGCACCAGTGTATTTGTGAAGAATCTGTGGCAGACACAGAGATCAAGAGGAGCTGTCTACAGATGTAGAGGTAGACAAATGTGGATTTATGAAACCGATGACCACAGAATCACAGGACCAGCCAGCCAATCCTGAGAGATAACAGAGTTTAAATCCCTGTTTCAGGCAAAGAAGATCTTATTCTCAGCCCTCCTGTTGCGTAGACTTACTTGTATATCAACTCAATCAGTGCTCACTGAGCACCCATCCTACATGGAAGGCTGCACACCACAGAGAATTGTCCATTCATCGTCCACTTGTTGGACAAATGTTTGTTATCAACCTGGAAATGGCAGGAAGCAGGAGTCTCCGGTGAGGGGAGCAGTTGGTTGAGGGGGGTAGTGAGGTGGTACTGCACAGTAGGGGAGCCTTGCTTGACACAAAAGGCCATAAAAAGGAAACAGTGTATCAAACCAAAGGAAGTAGAAGGAAAGCAATAATAAAAGCAGCAATTAATGAAGTAGAAAGCAAAAGCAAAGCAACTGATGTATTCAAATGGATTTTCTCCGAAAAAAAATCAGTGAAATAAAGAAGTTACCAGCAACCCTGATCACAAGAAAGGAGAAAGCAAAACCAGACAGACCGAGGGGGAACAGACCACTGAAACTCAGAAGAATTTTACAGTCATAGGAGAATATTTACAGAAGTCTTTGCAAATAAATTGGCAAACCTAGCTGAAATGGGTAGTTACCAGGAAGAATGCTTCTCACCCATTTAACCCTGGTAGAAGTAGAAGAGCTTAAACAGATGAATTTCTAGAAGAGAAACAAAAGTTATCCAGGAAACCATCTACAACAAAAGGATCATCTCAGATGGTGTCACAAGGGAATTCTGCAAAATCATCAGACTGCATCATCCTAGTGCTACAGGAACTGTTCCAAGTAACAGAAAAGGAAAGAAACATTCCAAATAATTGTTACGAAACAAGTTCAACAATAATACCAAAGGATGAGACAGAGGGCATGGGAAAGGAAGCCATAGGCCATCCTCATGTCTAAATCTCTCCATAAAAACCTAAAGAAAAGAGTAGCAAACAGAATCCAGCAGCACATAAAAAAATCATGGAAACCAACCACTGCAGTTACTACATTAAACGTGAATGGATTAAACAGCACATCAAAAGGCAGAGATTGTCAGACTGGGTAAAAACAGCAAAACTCAACTGTATTCACTGCCTACAAGAGATACACTTTGGATTCAAAGACACAAAAGTTTGAAAGTAAAAGGATGAGAAAATGTACCTGTGAACAGTAACCACAGAGCTGCCCTGGTGGTTCTAACACCAGACAAAATGGCCTTGAGGCCAAGAACTGTTCCTGGAGACAAAGAGGGGCATCTCATAGTGAGAAAAGGATCAATACATCAGGAAAACATAAAAATTGTAAGTGTGCACACACCTAAGGACAGAGCCCCACAGCACCTGAAGCAAAAACTGACAGAACTGAAAGGAGAAACAGGCAATTTAATCATAATAATAAGACCTCTCGAAACCCCACTCTCAATAACTGATAGAACAACTGGACAGACAACCATCAGGGAGACGGAAGCCCTGAACAGCACTAACCCACTTAACCTGATATTTACAGTACACCCTCCAGTGGCTACAGAAGACCCATTCTTCCCAAGTACACACAGTTCTTTCTCCAGGACGCATCATGTGCTAAATCCAAATAAATAGGACAGTATATTCAAAAAGACTGAAATCATAAAAAGTATGTTCTCTGACCACATTTTTGGGAACCAGGGTATGGCTGAGGAAAAAGGGGCTATAAATGTGGAACAGAGACAGGGACTTAAATTTGAGGTATCATATGAATGCATGTGTACGTGTGTCTGTCTGTCTGTCTGTCTCAGAGGAGGTGGGGGAGATGGAGCACAGAGGTGAGCACAGGTGAAGGGTCTTCAGCTACTCATTGTACTGTTTTTTTATTTCTCTGGGTTTTAAACTTTTAAGTCAAAATGATAATTTCCTTAAAGTGCATGCACTGAAGCTCTCCTGCTTGGGTCTGAATCCTGGTTCCTTTACACACAGCTGACCCTTGAACAACAGGGGTTCGAACTCTGAGTCCAAACCTGCTGGTGGGCTATGAGATGGTGCCACTTTGAAAACAGTGTGGCTCCTCCTCAGAGGGTTAAACATAGAGTTCCCATGGGACCCAGCAACTCCACCTCTGGATACAGACCCGAAAGAAACGGAACCACGTGGCCAAGCAAGCACGTGTACACCAATGTTCACAGCAGTATTCATCATAGCCAAGAAGTGGACCCAGCCCAGATGTCCACGAACCCGTGAGCAGACACGGAAGGCAGTGTGTCTGTACAATGGCATATTTCACAAATACAAAGGAATGCGGTCCAGACACGTCCTGCAGCATGAAAGCATTATGTCGGTGACAGAAGCAGGTCCCAAAAGTCCCCATGTCATCAGACTCCCTTTATAGGAAATGGGAGGAGGCAGATCTGGAACGACAGAGAGTAGACTGGTGGTTGCCTCAGGCTGGGCTTGGCGTGGGGGGCACATTGGGGAGAAACAGCGAGTGACTGAGGATGTGTCCAGGATTTCTTTCTGGGGTGATGAAAATTTCCTAAAATTGATAATGCTGAGGGCTCACAACATGGGAATATACTAAAAACTCCTGAACTGCACACTTTGACTGAACTAATGCTTTAAGTGAGTGAACAGATGTATGCTTGTTATGTGAATTACATCTCAATAAAATTGTTGTATTAAAGAAGCATTTTAAAAAAGTGCAAAAGACCTCTGAATTTATTCAGAGTGTGTCCTATAGTCAGGGACAAAAGCCCCAAATCGCAATTTATAAAAGACATGCCCACAGATTGTTTTTCAATAAATTTAGTTGCCCAGTAAGTGAATACTTCATTGCTAACATTTTATTGCTACAGTACTAAATCAAATAAAATGTTATATGTAAGTGTGGTGATGTCATAGAACATAAATTAATGAGTTTTTCTTCATCTCGAAAATGTCTTTGTTTTCGGTCCGGTGATAAATTTTCTGGCTTTTTCTTTCTTTAATGCCTTGTCTTGGCTGTATGGAAATAGCACTTACTAGAGATTGCCTTCATCAGGGGCAAGTGAGGTCGCGTGACACATGTCCTCACGTGGCGAGTGTCTCCTGCGGGATGGCTGCTGCGGCGGGTTGGGAATGTTTTCTGCGAAAGCCACGCCATCGCCCCTGGGAGGAGGGCGGCTTACAGTCAGGCGGAGCACCAGCCACGGACCGGGAATGTATCTGGTTCTGGTCCCTCCACTAGTAATACTCCTGCTGTTCCCTCCAGCAGGTTCTCTTCCCGCGGATCGGGAAGGCTTTTCTCCTCGTTCAGGGCCGAGTTCAAGGCCACACTCCCATTGCACGAGTGTGCTCGGGAAACATGGCACCGCAGACAGGGCGGTTGAAACCAGGGAAGGTGCCGCCACGGTTCCGGAGGCCGGGAGTCCAAGAGCGAGGCTCTGGGGCCGTTGCTTCTGAGGGTGTGGGGAAGGATCTGGCCCAGGGCTCCCTCCTTGGCCCGGAGATGCTGTCTTCTTCCTGGGTCCGTCCAAATCCCTCTTCTTTCCAGGACACCCCGCACAGTGGCTCGGGGTCCACCCTAATGACTCTTCTTAATGCGACTGCCTCTGTAGAGACCCCGTGTCCAGAAGAGGTCCTGGGAGTTAGGACCTGGACACTCGGCTCACACTCACCACTGACCAGCATTCCCTCCCTGACGGCTGACCATGGCCTCGCCTCCCACCCTGTCGCATGGCGCCCCCCTTCGTTTCCTGCCCGGAGCTGCTTATATTTATTTATGGATGGCCTCAATTCCGGTTTTCCAGTTTGTTCTTTCTGCTCCAAATGGGCGTAAATTCCCTAGGATCCAGGACTTTTCTGTGTCCTGCTCACTGTTGTGTCTCCAGAGCCCAGCCCAGAGCCAGTTCACCTCATGCACCCAGCACACCCTGGTGGAAGGAAAGAATGTACAGGAATGTTAATGTGATGACTGTTTCCAGGCTCCCCTTCCCCCCGAGGCCTGGGGGTGGAGCGAAAGCTGCTTAAAGGGACCTGATGTCCTGTATTCACAGACAACCGACTCTGAAGTCCTCTCTTCAAAACTAAACTGTTGCTAGGAAAGGAAATGTCTTCAGAAGGGAGAAGCAGGTGGGAAGGCTGTTTTCATACGGCCAAGACACGGCACTCAGGAATCTGATGATTGATTCTTACGTCGTTTTCTCAAAGCGTGACGTTACCTCCTTAAAAACAAGCTGCCTGGAAGAAAGGCAGGGTCCCAGGGCCGGACAAGGGCGAAAAGTGGGTCCAGACAACACCCGGCCCGGCGGCGGCGTCTTGTGCTTGACGGCGTAGGGAGATGGGCGCGTGTACCCTGCACACGCTTTCCACTGGTGAACACAGACAGGGCTCGTGCAGTGCACGGGGGGTGGACGGCAGTCCGGACCTGGGTCCGGGGTTCCGACAGTGAACGGTGTCTGTGCCAGGTTCAGTCCGCCCGCATCCGACTTCTCCCCGTGGGAGCTCCTCCACCTGTCATCAGTGGATGGAAACCTCTGATTCCACCTTGAACGGAAGCTTTGTAGCTCGTGCCCCATTTTCTGCAGAGCTGCCAGATGATTCCAGAGACCCTGCCTCCCCTCCACGTGCATATCTCCTCCAGATGCGGCTGCCGGGGCTCCCTCCGCCAAAGCCGTGAAAGCACGGGCTGTGAAGGGTGGGCACTGTCACCTGTATTTACGGAGGGAATTCTGATTTCTGGAATTCCGGATTTTCTTGCGGAGAGGTTTGCTTGGGTTTTCACAGCCTTGACTGGCACATGTCCGGTACAGGGACCGCTGCCTGTCAGGTGGGGACGAGGTGGGTCTGAGCGTCCTCCTGACACACATGCGCTGCATTCGGATCTTACATTGCCGGGGTTAGAAAGCTTCTCAGCGCGGCGGCCCAGGGCATTTGTGGAGCAACTCTAGGATGCAAGAGACAGTCTTGCGCCTTGAAAAATACTTCACCTCCCTGCAGGCCTCTCCCCCTCGCCCCGCACTAAATGCCTGTGACATCCTTCTCATTGTGATGCCTCAAAAGGCCCTTCACTCTGTAAAGTGGGAAGGGCACAGCCGGGCCACACACCTGACATACTTTGAAACTGCCACAGCCAAAAGGGCACAGAGTCACATCTGTGCTTGGAGAGCCCTTCAGGGAGGCTTCAATCACGAGGGTCTGGGCCTGGAAGCTAAGAGCTGGAGCATTATCTTGTTACTCTTGGCTTTAGAATACAGCCTTCCTTCCCCCTAGGCAGCAGAAACTGACCAGGAGGGCAGAGTGTGTGTGTGTGTGCACGCGCGCGTGTGTGTGTGTGCACGCGCGCGCGTGTGTGTGCGTGCGTGTGTGTGTGCGCGCGCGCGCACGCGCGTTCTGGGTGGGAAGGACTGAGGTAAGAACATACTTTTCTGTATTATTTCAACTTCATTCGATGCAACTCCATAATCAGCCCAAACTGGAAACCACAGATTTGCTGTAGGAATATTCACTCTACTGCCCACACTTTTAGCTCGAGCTTGATTTTTGGAATTTCTCAGTTAGAGATGTATTTTAGCAAATGAGATTTTTATATGCTTCCATAAGAAAACAAAGCTAATTCTGGGAGGTCGAAAGATTCCTTCCTTCAAAAGTGATATGCGTTCGTTCTGTGATTAACCACTTGGGTTATCTGAATGGATTCTAATGAAATGCACCCAGACCACTCCCCTGAAATCAGCTTCATTCAAAACCTTCAACCCAAAGGTTATTTTGGAGTTTGCAAAAGGAGCACAACATCAACATTTAAGACAGTCACATTCGCTAACAGCTGCCTTGCCTTTGAAGGAAATGAGGTTTGACAGCAATTCATCCGCAGTGCGATGCACTGGGCGCCAGTGATGAAATCATTCCTGAATTTTACTTCACTTTTTCTTGGGAACTTGAGCAAGAAAATGTGTATTTACATACAAAGGAGCAGTTCAGCACCAGCTCAAGGATGGGTGGGATAAGAACATGCTTTTCTGAAGCTGTGGGGGGGGGGGGGTGTGTGAAGGTGAAGGGCGCAGCTCCCGTGGCTGGACGACGCCACCCGCCCGGCTCGGAGGTCTCCGCCTGAAGACGAGCGGGTCATGGTCCACACTGCGTGCTCTGGCATCGAGGCGTGGATGTGCAGCTTCTACCCCTGGCTCCCGGTGTTGCTTCGGGTTTTACTTTTTGCTTTTTTTTAAAGGAGGCCACAGGAAATATTTGGCATGAGACAACAGTTGGTCCTTCAGTTTAGGGAGGGTTATTTTTTTTGGCTGCTTTCGTGATTTACTGTGCTGTGTGAAACACTAAATTGTACCTTCTGCCAGCAAGTGCAGTAAATTCAGTTAGTGTCCAAAGGAAGAAATGGGTGTTACAAATAGGACGGAAGGATGGCTTCGCTCTAAGCAGGCATTTCTCCCCCAGTGAGAACACGTGAAACCCGCTTCAGAGGCCCAGAGGCCCAATGGCTGGCGCTTCCTTCTCTCGAGCAGGTTGTATCGTGAGCTAGTCCCCAATGAGGCACCTCTGTCGTGCGCACGGCACGTGTTCGGAGCTGTACGTGACTGCTCGTGACCACACGTGTGCTGTGACTTGTGACCAGATGTTCTGGGGGAACTCCGGGACTGAGCACGGGTCTGGACGGAGCAAACGGAGGCCACCCTGTGCCGAGCTTGCTCTTGAACGGGAGTCCAGCCCGCAAGGATGTGACAGCAAAAGAAGAAAAAGTCCTTCCTGGAGCCGAATGCTAGACGAGGGGATCAGCTCTCCCCTCGTGCCCCTGCCCACCCCCTCCCCGTGCACCTGTCACCCCGGCTCCATGGTGCGCCCCCCCGCCACATGCGCAAGCCCCACCACTGTTGTCCCCTGAATTCTGAGATTATAAAGCACACTGAAAAGGAGGAGAAGAAAATCAAGGAGGCTTCTTGCCCACACACACCTTCATCCCATTTCCTGGCCCCACCTCTTACAACCGAAGCGCCCTCCCATCTAAGATATTTAGAGGGTCAGAGAGGTGACCTAGTTTCATTTTATTTTGTAGCTGCCAAGGACAAACGGTAAAGAGAAATGAAATGATTTTTTTTTTTTAAGTCTCAGAACTTAAAAACTACTTTTGAGGTTCCAAAGAAAGGCTGTTTTGCTTTCTAAGGCTCTGAGAGGTGCAAAGCCGCAGACCTCGATTGACAAGGACACCGCCTTGTAAAGGAGAACAGGGGGGGCGTGGGGCTTCCTGGCCCCCCCTCTGGGGCTCAGGCTGGGTCATTACCTCCAGAATCGCCGCAGACATGCCCTCGGACACGGAGCTGTTCACCACCGCGAAGCAGTTCTTCAGCGCTGCGTGTAGGTCCTCCTGGGGCATCTCTCCCAGCAGCCGCACCCCAGCCGCCCTGAAATAGGAGCAGGGACAGCTCTTGGCCACTGGGAGTCTTGTGGCGGTGGGGGGGGGGCGGGCTGGAGGGAGGACAGTAGTTCTTCAGATGGAGAGGTGGGCATTATGGACGGCACTGTATGGGGAGGAGGGTCTCTGCCCTGCCCCGCCCCTGATGAACCTCCGCCGCCGTGAATCATGCCCCCCAGGTATCAGACGTCAAACATAAGGTGCTGGCCACTTTTTCTAATGATGTGACCATTTCTAAAATGATTGTTTAAAAAAATACTAATAGGGACAGTAATGGACATAAAATAAACAGAAATGCTAAAATGGAGAATACAACAAGCACCCAGGTGCCCACTGCCCGGAGTGGACACATCATACAGGTTTTGTCTTATTTTTTTTTTATCCAGCAACACTGATTCGTGTCCTCCAACACCCTCTCCGCCACTCACGTAGCTGCCTCCGGTTTTACCTGCGAGTGCTCTGGGTCTCTGAGCAATATAAAGACGCCCACGTATCTAGGGGGATGAAATCAGTACTTCGCAGCCCCCTGTGCTGACGGTGGCCGGTGACATGGAGGGGCCGTCCTGGGGTACCGTGAGGAAACCAACTAAAAGGGGGCTGGCCTAAACGGGAGATGACCCTTCTGGTCCCCGCCCTTTCCTGGGTCCCCACTGAACACTCGGAATGTGCTGGAGGGGCCCTGGGGCCACCTGTCACCCTGAGGATGTGGTCCTGGGCCAACTACATCTGGTCGCTTCTTACGTGAGCAATTAGCCACAACGTGTTTCAGCCTGTGTTCTGGAGCGTCTGCAGCGGGCCGGCAAACGCACCGTCGTTTCCCACGGTACTACCAAGCGCTTGATACCTTAGGTCTTTTAGTTTCTGCCAATGTGATCAGTGGAAATTATAACTTCAGAGCGGTTTTCATCGGCATTTCCCTGAGCGAGGGAGGATGGGCATCTCCACTCCCGAGGGCATTGCTCACGCTACTAGCACAGCATCCTTCCCGTCGAGTGGGGGGTAAGAGCGCCCGGACCCCCCGGGATCGTGGGGAGGTTACACGAGGCGGCATCCGTGAGTGCCAGGAACAGAACCTGGGTGCAGGGAGTGCGGCGCAAGCATGGGAATGGGGGTGAAGGATTGGCCACTGGGCTTCCTCTCCTGCAAAATGCTTGTTTGCTTCTTCCACTTACCCCTTTACTTTGGCTTTTACTTCCCTTGTAAACACTGGGTCGACCTGAAAAGAGACAAAGATAGATTTTAGGAAAAGCCTTTCGTGAGCCTAAGTCTCAGGAGAACGGCATATCATGGCCACAGAGGCAGACTCAACAACTCAGGAAGGAAAAAGTCAAACCCAACAGGAACTAATACCCTGATTCCACTACCACATAATATGGGCAGGGAGAGAGGAGCACTGGGGAGGAGCTCGGAGAAATGCACACGTCCTCCTGTCTGCTGATGGGCGCGTCCCCCGAGAGCCTACTGCAGCCCCGCGGGCCAGGGTCTCGAAGCAGAAGTCAGGCCCAGCCACGGGCAGTCTGCCGGCCCCACGACACTCCAACGGAAGGAAAGATCTGCGTGATTCATTGCAGTGGTGGATTCTGTCATGAAACCTTTGAGGCAGCATGAAATGGAATCCTTAGCAGATGTAAGACAAAGGACCTGACAGAATTAAAATTTTATTTTGACAGGAAGCCTTCCCAGAAACACAATTTTCAAGCCAAGGGCACGTCCATCAAGCTGATGTGTGGACAAACACACGGGTCCATCCACACAAGGGAATATAACTCAGTCACAGGAAGGAATGAAGCACCGGCACCTCCCACACCGTGGAGGACCCCAGAGGACATGACATCCCGTGCACGAGGCCGGGCACTAAAGGCCACGTACTAGGTGAGTCCATTTCCATGCAACACCCAGAATGAGCAAATCCGAGGAGAAAGGAAGTAGGTAGGTGATTGCCAGGGACTGAGGGGGTGCAGACAGTGGTGGAGTGGCTGCTAACAAGTCTGGGGGTTCTTTGGGGGTGATGAGAATGTACCTGAATTAGGGTGATGGTTGCAAAGCTCTGTGAATATAGTAAAAAACAGTGGATTACATACTTTAACATGGTGATTTTGATGGCATAGGAATTATATCTCAAAAAAAAAGCCAGGTAAAACTTTGTAGTTAGTCACAGCCTAGTGTCCTTGAGCCTGGCTCTTCCTCCTGTTTCACACCCAGAGGCACTGTGTCCTTCAGGACAGGGCCCGTGTTCTGTCCCTTTGCACCTTGCCGATTGGCACATGGAAGTAACGCAGCGGTTGAAGGCTGTGTGTCCACCTGCTCTGCAACAGCAGTGAATTTTACTGCTTGCAGAGAGGCCTCAGTTTTAAGCAGACCCATTCGTAGGTGTGTAAGGACCAGAAGGAGAGGCGGTACGGACCGAGTGGGGCTCAGATCCCCCGGCCACTTGCCAGCTCCCGGCTGTGCCTGTGTTGGGGGACGACTCTGGGCCTCAGTTCCTTGGCTGCATAGTGAGAGTCGTCACGGGGCCTTGGGATGGTGGGGAGCGGCAGCGCCCGTGACTGCCCAGGACGTGGTAACTGCTTAGGGGCACAGAAGGAAACGTTAAATACCCTTCCGGAAAGAATGCACGTGACAGCTCAGATCTCGGCCCTGGAACAAGAAGACCTGTAGGCGTCACTCACATGCACGCTGCCCCAGAGACGCTGCCACACGTCTCCACAGCCAGGACCGAGCGGTGATGAGCAAGACGCCCCAGGGCCCGGCGGCTGTCACAGTGTGTTCGCACAGGGACGCACACATTCTCGACCCTCGGAAGCCGGACTGGAGCACCGGCCTGTGCATGTGGCTTGCTCTCAGAGGCCCTGGAGGACGTGAGGGGACGCTGTCCCACTGTCACAGGCCTCCCACCCGGATGGAGCCGCAGCGTGCACTCACACCTCTGACTCGCCCAAGTGCGCACTGGGTTTGCCTGGGCCATCTCTGCGCCGGTGCTGTCAGCAATGAGTACACACTGTTCTGAAGTTGATGCCCATGGGACACCAAATTCTGGGCACTTCTCAAAGATACAGAGAGAGGAGGGCTTAAACACATTTTACTAATACAGTGTCTGCCACCTCGTCCTGTTCTCCCGATGAGTGAGCTGCGAACACAGATTCAGTTTCTATTCTCATTCACACGTTAGCGGTAGGTATTAGGAATTACAGAACAAGTCGGTTTAATGACTATGACAATATCCCTATACTTTATCATGCCAACTGGAAAAAATGTGCCTTCCAGAAACTTCATTTCAGTTTCTTTTGGCAAGGAATGCCACATGTGTGTTGGACCCCAGATCCTTCAAACCACTGGCATTGACTGAGATGCATCCCAAGAAGCTAACACAGCAAATCTGGATGCATAAGGAACACTGAAACTCTCCCCAGAAAAAATGTTTTTAGAGTTTAATGTATTTTAAGAGGAAAGTTACAGGAACAGCACTGAGGACAGATGTGTGCAGGACATGCAGGGAGAAGAGACTGTGTGGGTGCGATCCCGTGCAGGATATAGACGCGGCGGACACCATTTAGGTGCCGTCCATAAATGATCTGCTTGCTCTAAGAAAATCCAGATGCTTGCACGATCCAGAGACACTTAGCATGTTTGTGTATAATTGTTATAAAATTCAGTTGCTGGGGCGCCTGGGTGGCTCAGCTGGTTAAGCGACTGCCTTCGGCTCAGGTCATGATCCTGGAGTCCCGGGATCGAGTCCCGCATCGGGCTCCCTGCTCAGTGGGGAGCCTGCTTCTCCCTCTGACCCTCCCCCCTCTCATGTGCTCTCTCTCTCTCTCTTTCAAATAAATAAATAAATCTTTAAGAAAAAATTCAGTTGCTGAAGTTTCTTGCTGAAGCATTTTGACCTGCACAAATGCTTTACGTCTCCACTTTTATGTTAAAAATTTGCACACGGGGCGCCTGGGCAGCTCAGTTGGTGAAGCGTCTGCCTTTGGCTCAGGTCATGATTCCAGGGTCCTGGGATCAAGTCCTGTATCTGGCTCCCTGCTCAGCGGGGAGTCTGCTTCTCCCTCTGCTGCTCCCCCTGCTTGTGTTCTCTCTCTGTCAAATAAATAAATAAAATCTTAAAAAAATAAAAATAAAAATTTGCACACAAATCAAAGCGGAAATGCTGCCAAGATCTGATTTCTGCCCCCTCTGTTTCCATTCAGTCACATACTCAGGTACCTTCCGATCCCATGGGGAAAAAAATCTTATGTTCAGGACTACCAATAACAAGAAGAGAACCTTTTGTGGGGTTTTTCTGGTTTTTGTTTTTAAGATTTTTTTTTTTAATTCATTTGAGAGGGGAGAGAGAGAGCATGCACACGAGCTCTGAGCAGGGAGCCCGACATGGGGCTCGATCCCAGGACCCCGAGATCATGACCTGAGTCGAAGGCAGACACTTAACCGACTGAGCCACCCGGGTGCCCGTTTTGTTTTTTGTTTTTTGTTTTTTGAGAATGAACTGTTTCCCATCATAGAGGATTCCTGAGTACGTTCTCCACGCATGGGGCGTGCTGTGTGTCTTCAGGCAACATTATTACACACTTGGTGTGGATAGCACACAGGTTGGTGTCTTCCAAGTGGACAGCCAGATAGGCCTCACAAGTCATCTTTTGCAAAGCACCAACAGCTAAGCTCTGGAAGCTCAGATCTGTTGGAAGTCGCGGGCAATTCCCGCACCAGAAGTCAGAAGTGAAGTTGGAGCATCACTTGCAGCGATGAGGACAGTTTCCAGTATACCCCGGGGCAGGCCTGGAAGGATGAGGTTTCTTCAGCCGCCAGCAGGGGGCGATTGCTTGCATGCGGCTTTTGTAGCCCGCTGTACTTTGCTCCGGGTCGACTTGTCAACCTGCAGGCAGGAGACTCTACAAGAACCCTGTTCTGAGGCCTCCTTAACCTGCCCCTTCTCCTTTGGTGGAGCTGGGCCAGCTAGAAGCAATACCAGGGTTAGAGATGGGCCCGTGGAGGCTGCAACACACTCCTACTCTTGAAAGATCTTTAAAGGAAAAACTCATACTTCTGGACGATTTGTTGTTTACTGCTATTAAGAGTCAGAATGTACTTGCCACGGACTCTGGACCTAACCTACGTTAAGTTTTCTATATGCATCAGCTTACTTCTTGCCAGTGATCCTGGTATGATTGCCCTGCTTTACACAAGAGGACAGTGAGGGTCAGGGAGCTCCTGCAGTTTAACCAGGATCACGCAGCTAGAACGTGCTGGGCCAGGAGACCGAGTTCTTAAAACCACACTTCACCGCCCCTCTGCTATCTGCTCAGGGATTTTACCAACTAGTTCATAAAAAGCCAACGTGGATTATAGAATAACTACCTGCTTATCTGTTTATTTCCCCACAGTATCCTGTCTGTAGCTGTTTCCCTCCCTCTCTGATTGTTGCCATTCTCGCCACCAGGAACGCCCCCCTCCGTCCCTAAAACCTATTCATCCCCAGGGCACAGGCCGAGGTCACCTCCGGGGGAGATTTTGCCCGGTCATCTAAACAAGAAATGACATCTCCTCCCCCACTTTCCTTCCACCTGCTACCAAACGCAGGCCTGCCTTGCCTGCTGCTTGCCCACCTCGCCCCCATATGAGTGCCCCTTTCCCTCCAAGGCCAGGCCCAGTGTCTTGCACACAGTTCTCAGCTCCATAATATTTGCTAAGTGCGTGGTGTGCGTGGTTTCCAGCTGGCCCTTGCCTTTGTTTCTCGAATTCCTGATTCTTTCTGTTGAAATGATCTTAAACAATTGAATTACATTATAACCCCTATCATGAAAAAGCAAACAGCCTAATGAAAGCCTTCTTTGGGCTTTCCACTGTAATTCTCAAATTCACATTTTTTATGATCATTTCTAGAGATCCCTCATTTTTAATTTTGTTAGCATGCTTCTGCTCTCATAATTAACTGTTTAGAGAAAAGTAATTCATCGAGGAAAATTTTAAAAGTCTGCTGAAATACCTAGCGTGTTAACTAAAATTCAGCTGCAGGTTGGAAGTACAAACTGCATTAAACTTTTCTGGATTTACCTTCTGCATCAGTTCATTTTCAAATCTCCCAGTGAAGCCAAGTGGAACAAAATACAAGATAAAGAAAAAAAAGAAGGGTACATTTTTTATGTAATGAAAGCACATGTTATGAAATTTTAAAAAGTAAAAGCATTGCAAGCAGCAAAGAAAATTCTCATTTCCTCC